AAAGAACAGTAACGAGACATATAATTTTGTGATTACAGGTGATTCCGATTTCCAGGCGATCTTTCATTTATTTCATGGATAATTGTAGGAGAGGCTCGGTGGCCAGGGAAGGGCCCCATCTGCCTCGTCTGCCTCGGCATTCCAGAAAAAAGAAGCCAAGAGGAATGCGTGAGAGCAGCCCTTTCCTACTAGCCCCAGCAGCTGTCTGTTCATTTCCCCAATTCTATTCTCCCTCCGCCAGTGGCAGCAACCAGGGAAGGGAATTAGTCTTGGCAGATACATGGGCTTCTGCCACCACGTTTGCTTGACCGACCGCTTCTGTGAAGACCTTTGAAGGTGGCGGGGGCGGGACGGGGCAGGGGGAGGGGATGGAGTTTGCTCTGGATTTCGATGGCCCTACTTAGAATAGATTTATCAAACCTTACACTGTATCATTATTCTTGGCCCCCAGGAAGGAGAAATAAATAGGGTAAATGAAGACACTTGGAACAGATGTTCTGGTGTCTTGCTGGAATAAATGCACAGCTTAGATTTATTTGGCTAGTGGAGGAGCCCAACTGCGCTCTCTTTAGCTGACCTGATGTTCACCAGCTGGTCTCACTGTCAGCTCAGGTGCTGTCAGTTCTCGCAGGAGGAATCGCCTGGGGAGTGAAACAATATGTACCACTGCCTGGGCTCCAATTAAACAGCTTCTCTGGAGGGGGCGCCCTGGCATTGAGTAAAGCCCCCTCTTCTCCCCTCTGTGATTCGAATATGCAGGCCGGGGTGAGAACCGCTGGAGAAAGGAAGGCCCGTGGGCGCATCTGCGCATGAGTACAGGAGGGCAAGAATGGGAGGACAGTGGAAACAGAAGTGGCTCAAGTGTTCTTTTGGCCTGGCTGCACCAATTGTCTGGCTGGCTGTCCGTCCCCTCAGTGCCGCCCTGGCCACTATGTTCTGACCCCTGATGGAGAGGCCCAGCGGCATCTCCTCTGCAGGGCGTTGATCGGGAGCTGCCACTGGGTGTCGCTGTTGTACCGTAGAATAAAGCTGAGGCGCGGTCAGAACCAGAGTCAGCAAGGAGGATTGGGTGTGGGGTCATGTGATTACGAATGAGTGAATAAAGATGGAATTTGGGGTGATCATTGGGTCTTGCCCCTGGATATCTGCAGGACCCCTCCCCCACCTTCTCTGAGTCTTGTTCAAATGTTACCTTTCATGTGAGGCCTTCCCCGACTGCGGGACCCCTCCCCCACCTTCTCTGAGTCTTTGTTCAAATGTTACCTTTCATGTGAGGCCTTCCCCGACTGCCTTCTCTAAAATTACATCCTTCCCTCTCTGAATCTCATCCCCCTTTCCTGCTCTAGGTGTGTACATATGTGTGTATGTAACAGCTTTATTGAAATGCAATTCACATGCCACACAATTCACTCGTATAAAGTGTCCAGTTCAGTGGTTTTTAGTATATTCACAGAGTTGTGCAACCATCAGCACGATCAATTTTAAAACAATTTTATCACCCCCGAAAGAACCTCTGTACATTTTAGCTATCAAAGCCCCAGCCGCAGTCCCCTCTCAGCCTCAGGCCACCACTAATCTACTTTCTGCCTCTATGGATCTGTCTGTTCTGTATATTTCTTATAAATGGAATCATACAGTATAATGTGGTCTTTCGTGATTAACTTGTTTCACTTAGCACAATGTTTTCAAGGTTCATCCACGTCGTAGCAAGTATCAGTGCTTCATTCGTTTTTATTACTGAATACTACTCCACTGTATGGATAAAGCACATTTTGTTTATCTGGTCATCCGTTGATGAGTATTTGGGTTGTTTCTACTCTTTGGCTGTGTTGAATAACGCCACTAAGGACATTTGTGTGCAGGTCTTTATGTGGACACATGTTTTCGTCTTGGGTATATGCCTCGGAGTGGAGTTGCTGGGCCAAATGGTAACTCTGTGTTTAACTTTTTGAGGAACTGCCAGACTGTTTTCCAAGGCGGCTGTACCATTGTATCGAGCTGTATTTTCTCTCTAGCACCTACCACCTTCTAGTGGAGTCTCTGGCTACTTACTTACCTGTCTAGTGTCTCTGTCCCCGCCACGAGGTACAGCTCCATGAAGTCAGAGACTTGGGTCTGCTTTGTTCGCTGCTGTATCCCCAGGATGTGGACTAGTGACTGGCACGTAGTAAGTAGGTGCTCAATACATACCCCTTGAGTGAACAAAGGGACCTGAGTTTTCTGATTTTTTCCTTCATTTATTTACTGCAGTCATCCACTCAATGTGGACATATGGCTCCAACTATGCAGCTGACGTGGGTACAATAACGGACAAGGCAGGTAGCCTCCTTGCCCACTTCCAGTGGACACAGGGTCTGGACGCCTGATCTAACCCCCACCGTGGCATGAAAACCAGACAATGAAACCTTTTTTCCTGTGATTTACAGCCTGTGGAAGTACAGACGTATATACCTATATTGCTAACCATGAGATCAGGATACAGTAGGTATGGAGGTGGGGCAAGGCCTGAGAAATACACTTGGGCCAGACTTAGGAACTCAGAGAAGGCTTCCCAAAGGAGGAATAGAAATGCCGGAATCTGGAAGATAAGGAGGACGCTGCCCAGTGGAGGGAGGGTAATGCTTGCCTTGATGGTGCAGAGAGGAGCTCCTGGCATGTTCCAGAAACATGGAGTGGGCAGAGGGTGGGGGTTAGTGACGGAAAACGATGAGGCTGGAGAGATACGAGGTGCCTGCCGTCGGGGACAGCAACCTGTTGAGGATCTGGGCGTTCTCCGAGGATCTGGGAGTTCTTCCAAGAGCAATGGGAAACCGTGGCAGGCTTTTCCATAGGGGCTGGCGTGGGTCAGATTGGCCGCTTTGAAAGCCTGTTTGACCACAGTGTGGAGAACCCACCGGACGGGGGCAAGCTGGGCATGGAGACCCGAAAGGGGGCTCTGGCTGCAGCCCAGACAGAAATGGTTCTGNCAGAGAGGAGCTCCTGGCATGTTCCAGAAACATGGAGTGGGCAGAGGGTGGGGGTTAGTGATGGAAAACGATGAGGCTGGAGAGATACGAGGCGCCTGCCGTCGGGGACAGCAACCTGTTGAGGATCTGGGCGTTCTCCCAAGAGCAAAGGGAAACCGTGGCAGGCTTTTCCATAGGGGCTGGCGTGGGTCAGATTGGCCGCTTTGAAAGCCTGTTTGACCACAGTGTGGAGAACCCCCCGGACGGGGGCAAGCTGGGCATGGAGACCCGAAAGGGGGCTCCGGCTGCAGCCCAGACAGAAATGGTTCTGAAACGGTGGCCTGAATGGCAGCAGAGGCCGTGG